ATTATATTATTATACCAAATATAAATTACTTCGTTATTAAACCTAAATTAAATTATAATAAAAAATTGAATTAAAAAATTACACAAAAATATAGGAATTTTAAATAGTTAACTTGATACTAATATCGATATATTTTTGTCAATTTTTTATGATATCCTTAAATTTATATTTTATTCAAAAATAAAAACATTATCGTCTTTTCAAAATCACATAAGATCATACTATAACATCGATTGAGATAAAAAAAATATTAAAATCAAGATGTATCTCGCTGTATTGCATGAGTACCCTTCTAATATAATTAAAATTGATTACATTTTTACCATCTCATTTTAAGTTATTATATATTTATCATTTAGTTTAACAAAAATAAATAATTTAATATTTAATTTATCCACTAATAATTAGCTTATTCATTTATTTACCAAAGTACCCTAAGAAAGAAACTAAAAATCAAATAATGCGGCTTCCATTCACTTTCTTTTCAACTTTTTAAAGTAGGAGTATTCATGAGTTTGGTTGATCGGGTTAAAGATATTTGAGCAAACCAATCTAATGTTTACGATTTGAAAAATCTTAATTCAACCCAATCCAATCCAAATTGTACAGGTTGATACTTTAATACATTAAAATATTCTTATGACCTTGAAAATTTCTCAACTCATAATTTCATTTTCATTATCAATCATTTGATACAACTTATCCATCCTTCTTACGTATATCACATTCAGTTAATTTTTTAATTTCCATACATACATACATACATACATGCACAGTTACTGAACACATACACAAATGAGTTACATAGAGATGTAAATAGATTGAAAATATGTGTATATGAAGAGGATACGTGATAGTGTAATTGTCTAATGTATATATTAATAGAAATTCAACAATCATATCAAATCCAAGAAATAAAAGGATATCGAGTTCATCGGGTTGAGTTGAGTTCAAATAATAATAACCTAATATCTACAATTTGAAAATTTTACAACTCGATTAAACATTGGATTGCTTCAAATTAAGTTATTTCACATTGGATCAGATTGGATTGATCGTATTGGTCGAGTTGTTAAACACCTCGAGCCTTCATCTTTAAATATATATATAAAAAAGAAAAAAGAAAAAGGAATATAAAGCCACATTATTGGACTTCAAATTTCTTTATATATTCTTGGTGGCCAAGGCTATTAGGTAAGCCTTGGGAAGCACGGCTAAGACAAGTATAAATATAATTTAGTGTCAAAGCATTCATATAAACCATTTTCTTTCATTTTCATTTTCATTTTTAAATTTAAATTAATTATTGGGTTTTGGTGAAACTGGTTATTTTTCATGAGATCTGTGAGGTCGAAATAAAAGTCCTTTATAATGTTTGGTATGTTTTTCATGTGAAGATACGGGTTTTTTCATATCAACGTTGGGTCCTGTAAATGCTCCACAAGATCAGTATATTTGTTTTTTTTTTATATAAATATTATTTGGTAAAAACGAGAGACCGTGATGATTGTATTATTCGTTCATGTTTCACGTGTTGAGTTCTCTCGGTTATTAGTTTTTAAAGGTAGTCGGGAAAATCGGTGGTTGAAAGTATGTCAAAAATGAGTTCGGATTAAACAATCAACTTTTAAGTTGGATTGAGTCACATTAACCTGTTAACAACTCATGTCGGTTTCATATATATATATATATATATATATATATATATATATATATATATATATATATATATATATATATATAGACACACACACACACATAAATTTTTTGTTGTTCTGCATATACATATCAGCTTAGTAAAAAAAATGGTTAAATGAGGACAATGATGATCAGATTGGTTCGCTCGTCGTACTTAATGGCACTATTATTGCCTTGATGATTCATTCATTGTTCTTTTCCGAGTCCTCTTGTTATTATTTTGTTGTAAATTGTTGTATGAGTTAAAGGTTGGTGACATGTCAAAATGGATTTGAGTTAAACTCTTAAATCGGTTAACAAGTTTTCATTAATATACGTTCGTGTAATCTTTTTTGTATATAGAAATATTATTTTGGTGAAAAATGAGGACGATGATGATCATATTGGTTCGCTCGTCGTACTTAACGGCAATGCTATTGCCTTGATGATTCATCCATTTTTAACGTTCTGAGTCCTCTCGTTTATTGTTTGTTGTATGTTGTTCACCGAGTAATAGATTCAAGTTATGTATACATACACACACACACACACACACACATATATATATATATGTGTATATATAGGGTTGAGTTCATATGAAATCAATATGTTTTCGTGAGACCTGTGAGACCTTTTTTTTACACTTGAAACTTCACAATAAAACTATGTGAAAGTGAAAAAAGGTTGAACTTTCACAGCAAAAACAATGTGAAATTCATATTCACAGCGTTTTATTGTAAAATTTCAAGTGTAAAAAAATGGTCTCATGGGTCTCAGTATATAATATATATATATATATATATATATATATGTGTGTGTGTGTATGTATGTATGTATGTATGTATATATGTATGAGGTTTACTTTATTTGTACAAACTTTAGTCAACCAATCATAATTTTTCATTTTGTTGTAATTATGAAAGGTTGAATGATCATTTTTATTGTGGAGGGTGTTAATCATGTTTATTATTATCTTCATTATATTAATTTTAGAGAAATATACATGAAACGATTTCACTAAAATTTCATAATTATTATATGAAATAATTTTATAATCATATTAAAACGACTTTATCAAAAAGTATCATATGAAACAATTCATAACTATTAAACAATTTAATGAAAAATTTTCATAAAAATAAACAATAAAATTAACAGATAAAAATGATTTACACGGTTTGTACAAATATAAATGGTTTGTATTTGATTGCTCCTATACATATATATGTATATATAGAGAGGATCACTTGTAATTTTATAAGTGAATTTAATATAAAATCACGTTTAATTTGGTTGTTTTTATGTTCTCTCATCCGTAGATAACATTAATCAAATTTCGAACAAAAATTAAATTATTTATTTCGTTTTTTTTCTAAAATATGTACAAATTAACGATTTCAAAAAATAAAATAAAAAATCATTTAAAAACTTGGAAATAAAATTAGATTTCAACTTCTATATAACAATTCATCTTGGACCGGAGAGTTCTATTGCTTGTCCAAGTAACGAAGAGTCATCGGTGAGGTCGGAATATCTTTCCGACGAAGACAACTCCGGCGTTCTGAACTTTCCGGCGGACTCAATCCCTTGTGAAGCCTCCCATCTTTCTGCCAACCCATCTCCTTCCAGCATCCGTACAACTTCCGACATCTTTGGCCGGTGGCCGGGAAGATATTGTGTGCACAACAATGCCACTTTTACAAGCTCCTCTAACTCCATTCTATCGTAATTGCTCTTTAAATCCTTATCCACTAATATATCTAGTTTCTTTTCTTGGTGGATCTTTCTCACCTGAAAAATATGTACCACTTTTAATGCATAACGTACAAGTCAATAAAGCAGTATTGCTTCGAAGAACCGAGATTGTGAAGTCTCGTTTTGTACCCGTGAATCGGAACGTTACATAATGAACTTTCCGGGTACTTGAGTTTGGATCTGGAAGTGTCCGAAACGGAAAACGTACTTTCGGACACTTTTCGGTTCGTTGGCATCCGGACACGTCAATGAATAAAACAAAATTGACTTTATAGGACGTCAAATATGTATAAATGCTTTAATAAAATGTTTTATATTGACTTTCTTTAGAAGACAATTAAAATCAAGTATTTTATCAACTTATTGTAACATTTTTACATAAAATGGATAATAATTTGTTTCTGTAAACGTAAGTCATATAAAACAGTTTATTATAACATTTATATGTATTTAACGTCTTATAAACTCGATTTTATTTAGATTTTATTTAAGTGACGAAAAAATCTCGATATGAATTGCGTCATCGTATAGTACAAGTCAATAATGCACGGTATCAGGAATCTTACCCAATCAAGCATGGCCCCTTTCTGGTTTGCGGCCTTGCCGAATTCTAGAGCCCGTTGTCCGGTGATGAGTTCTAGAAGAAGGATCCCGAAGCCGAAAACATCGGTTTTTTCCGACGACTGACCGGTGGAGAGATACTCCGGTGCTATATGACCCACGGTTCCCCGAACGGCAGTGGTTACATGAGAATCTTGGTGGTCTAAAAGCTTTGCCAGCCCAAAATCACCAACAACTGCCTCACAACAATCATCAAGCAATATGTTTGCAGCCTTTACATCCCGATGAATGATTTTAGGGTCACACTGTTCATGAAGGTATAACAATCCCCTTCCTGCCCCTAATGCAATTTTCTTCCTTATCCCCCAATCCAACACTGGTTTTGCTGTCGAAATTTCAAACCCGGATAGCGTTAGTCGTGATTCGTGCTCGTACTTTTCAAGATTTCTTGAAACTAATCAGAAGTTTCAAGATTTAAACTAAACCAAACAAACCCAGTATATCAAATACGGAGGTAGGTTTGAAACTAAACAAAAGTTTCAAAATTTCTTGAAATTACACCGACGTTTCAAGATTTCTTGAAACTAAACCGAAGTTTCAAGATTTAAACTGAGCTAAATTAAACGAACCCAGTATACCCCACCTGAAGGTAGGGTATTAAACCAAAGAGAAGTTTCAAGATTTCTTGAAACTAGACAGAAGCTCAAAGATTTCTTGAAAATAGACAAAAGTTTCAAGATTTCTTGAAACTAAACACAAGTTTCAAGAATTAAACCAAAATATACCAAACGAACCCAGTATGCCGTATATCCCATCCGGAGATGGGATCTGAAACTAAACAAAAGTTTCAAGGTTTCTTGAAAATAGTAAGAAGTTTCAAGATTTAAACCAAACTAAACGAACCCAGAGGTGCGGTCTCAAACTAAACAAAAAGTTTCAAGATTTCTTGAAACCGAGGAGATGTTTCAAGATTTCTTGAAACCGAACAGAAGTTTCAGTATTTTCTTGAAACCGAACAGAAGTTTCAGTATTTTCTTGAAACCGAACAGAAGTGATCAATGCATCGGCTAAATTTGGTTTTTTTTCTTTGTTTATGCCAAATGACACATGGGTTTACCTTTGAGACGAGAAGCGACACTGCCGTTGGACATATACGGGTAGACTAAGAGCTTTTCGGTAGGAGTCATACAAAATCCATATAATCTGAGGAGATTCCGGTGAACTGCTAGGCTGATCATCTCAACTTCTGTTTGGAATTGTCTTACGCCACCAGCGGCACCGCCATCTTTCAGCCGCTTAACCGCCACCGACGTCCCATCATGGAGTGTCCCTTTATACACATGCCCAAAACCTCCTTTCCCCAATATGTTCTTGTTACTGAAATTGTGTGTTGCAATTTGAAGCTCCCTGAATTGAAACTTCCTTAAATTCCCGATCGAAACTTCCTCGTGATGTTTATCTGCATTTTCGTTTTGATTTTAGAAAGTTATAATCTGAAGTTCCCTAAACCGAAAAATTCTTAAACCAAACCAAACAGGCCCAATATATCTCATCTGGTAGGGTCAGGGGAGGATCAGATGTACGCAGATCTGACTTCTACCCCAAAGAGTATAATGATTGTTTCTGTGAAGACCCCGACTTGTGCAAAGTGTACAAAAACATAACCAAGGTAGGGACGACTACACAACCCTGGTCTAACTTAGGATTCGATAAGTCTAACCGCCGGTTCACTAACCAAACTATAAGTGTAAAATCTAAAAGTGTTACAATAGGTGTATAAGATGTTTCTAGATGTTTTAACAAGTTTTTTAGGATGTTTTTAAGATAAAGTGTCTTGTTAGCTATATGGTACACTTTTGAGAATTGTCCTATAAACCCATCTTTTTATAGAACACTTATTAGGGCATTTTTTCTCATATAAAATAGTTAATACGACAATTTATTTTAAAAGCATCTTAAAAAACTTATTAGAACGCCTAGAAGCGTCCTATAAATCTATAGTAACACTTTTAGATAAGATGCTTTTTGATTTAGTCCTATAATCTTAAGTCTTATTAAATATATTCTTTAAGTCGTTTCTTAATTTTAAGCGTCCAATAAAATCAACTTTGTTGTAGTGCTAGCTACAGATTCCCAACCCCAGTCTGTTGTCCTAATGGCTAATATTGCATCTCCAAGACCTATCAAATGCCATGTCCTCGGAAACGCCTAGATAACTGAAGAATATCGGTGTCAAATTCATCACGAAGTCCACATCAATTTGATCTTGAAAAGTTACAGAATTTACAAACCTTTGACATCGAAGAAGGGTTCTCGATTATGGGTTCGCCTGAACCATATCAATACGATTCCAAAGACGAGCAAGAAAATGGCTCCGAGGCTTGTACCAATGGCGAGGGCCATTTTGTGGGATTTTGTTCTTGATGAAGTGTTGTCTGCTTCAAATTATGATATAATCAATAACCATAAAATGTTTAGATACAACCCTTTAAATCTCTATATGATTTCATACCTTTTGTGGTGTTTAATGGCATAGAGATGGGCATAAGTGTCATTCCATAGCATTGTTGCTCAGATCCTGTTGGGCACATCAGAGGGTTCCCAAATATGCTGCAATTAATGAACAATGATTTAGAAAGACAGCAATTAAATTTTCAAAGTCCAATTTTTATGAATTTAATATTAATAAAATAACATTTTCACAAGTTATTAAAGTGCTATTTGTAAAATGCTGACATGACAGTAGAATTATAGCAATATAAGTAGCCATTAGCAACTTTAGCAAGTTGTATAATTGACACTTCCATGTCAGCATTTCACTAGTAGCATTTTAGCAACTTACTAACGTGTTACTTTATGAAACTTAAAATCATAAAAAGTAGTTTTGCAAGTGTATTTAATTTCATAAATGCATTACCTAGTTGTACTGTACAAGTATAAAGACACTTACTTGAAGTTCTTGGAAGGAATTCTAGGAACAGGGCCACTCAAGTTATTGAAGGACAAGTCTCTGCAATGAACACAAAAACAGAAGACTCTGTGTAAACTATACATACACATTTCTGTATGTATAATTGAACTATAAACTGTTGGGATTGAGAAATCTTACACAAGGGCAAGTTGAGTCATGCTGGCTATTGAATCTGGGATTGGCCCAGAAAGACTGTTGTTGCTTAGTTTCCTAAAAATAGCAAGTTTTGATTTTCAAGAAAGACCAGAAAACAGGAACTTTTAGATTTATAATTTGGATAGCAACTTACATGTATTGGAGGGCATTCAAGTGACCTAAAGATGATGGGATTTCATTGGTGAAATGGTTATTAGAAAGATCAAGTGTTTGAAGATTCTTCAGTTTACCAATTTCTGGTGGGATTGGGCCTGTGATGTTATTGTTCTGCAACAATCTGCATCAAGAATCACTCACCCATTTAAACCCTAAAAAAATCCCTAAAAAACCCAAAAAAGGAAGTGAGAATTTGGTTGATACTTACACAATATGAAGATTGGTTAGGTTGCCAATGCTGGGAGAAAGTGTGCCAGATAGATTTTGACTAGGTGTCCCCCTGAAAATGATCATATATATAATTATATAATCAGAAATATGGATTTTGTATAGATATATACACACAGTAATACACTTTTAAGTGTGTGAAGGAAGATTTACAGGCCAATGACTAGACTCTCAGCAGAGCAGGTGACCATAGTCCAGCTACAGGGATCAACAGCATCACCATCCCAATTTTCAAGAACTCCATGAGGATCCAACAATGAAGCTTTTATACCCATCAAAGCTTGAACTGGAGAAAACCACAATATGAACAATACCCAGATTAAAAAAACTCCATTTTTAGGGTTCTAAGAAGCAGAGTTGATGTAAAAGAAGCAGATTTACCTTCAAAGTTGACACCTTTTGGAGAAAGCAAGGCATTTGAAGAAGCAGAAAGCCATAGAAACAGAAAAAAGATTGCATTTGCAGCAGTGTTTACTTGGTGTACTCTCATTTCAGTTTGAAACTAATGAGGAATGATTCAAAAATGTACTTTTCAGAAATTAATGGTTGAAAGAGGAGGGATTTGGGTATGGTTTGAATGAAGTGGTCTGCTTCTATGGGTTCAGTTATTGAAACTTGATGATTACCATTTTCCAAAAGAATTTGAAAGAACCAAGAAAAAGCAAAGTGAGGCCTTTTGTGTTGTTTTCTTGTTAGCATAAAGAGAATTAGCACGCCTGTCATGCCTGATGCCTCATGGGTCACAGGTTAGGGAAATCAAAAACAAATTCAAGAAATATACATAAAGAGATAGGTTCAAACAAGAACAGTAACTAAATAAAAGCATATGAAAACTATCAAATTATATGCAAAATCATTTGTGATTTTATACTGATGGTCAACATAAATCAGATATAATTCGACAATTTTCTTATTCTCTTATTTAGTTACTTTTCTCATATGAACCTGACTATATATATATATGGCGTGGTCAAATAACAAAGTTAAATATATATAAACTCAAATGAACAATATGTAACGTCGCTTCACACACACACATATATAAATAGATTTTTTTAATGATTCACATATGAAGCTTTCATTCGGTAACCCCAATAGTATATCATGTACATATTCATCAGGAATATAGACATGCTATTGATCATGAATATCGTAACGTATTCATTATTAATGTGTTATTTATTAACAACATTCATCTTAAAGAAAGACACATGATATACTGTCAACACTTTCAGATTACTAATCAGTTTATAAAACAACAAAGGGATAAAGATGAAATAATTGAATTATGTCTCCAAGAAGTTGATTAATTGAATTGGGAAAAGTAAAAAAAAATGAAGAGGACAAAGAAGAAAATGTTAAAATTTATGGGTATTATGATCACTAGTCATGTTATAGTCTTAGAGATTTATAGTTTCTTAATGGATTGTTTTTGATGGTTTTTAAGGTAGAGACAAGGAGGAATCAAACATTCTCTGAGTTTGGCCATTCAAGATACTCACAAACACCATGATAAAATACATAGAATTTGGGAATCTCAAGGTGGTTTAATACTTTGAAATTGGTGAATTATAGTAGGGGAGGTAGGGTGGGGAGTGGGTGAGGGGTGGAGGGATTGTATCCTACTTTATTCATTGATGATTACATGATCCACTACTAAAACACCTTTTTTTCAAATGATTCTTTACTTCAAAAAAGATGGGAAAAATGTTTTTTTTTATGTGTAATTGGTTGAAAGTGTGTATTATGATATCTAACTTTTATAAAAACAATCTTTATAGAGAGAAGAGTCTTTTTTATACAGGAACTTGTTTAAACGAGAATATTTTTATTTTATCAGAATGTGAAAACACCTTTTTATTATTACCAATCACATGTAGTATTATGTCAGAGTCGTCATGCCAAGTTGTCCACACACGTTCCCTCACGTGTATTATCACGTTGTGATAAGGGTGCTTTTCACGTTTTCGTAAAAATGAAGATATCTTGTTTGAACTTCCACCTATATGTATGTATATGTACATATATATATATATATATATATATATATATATATATATATATATACATGTTTGATATTCTGCTTCTAGACAATATGAGATTCCAACGCTCTCTTAAATGGAGGTTAGACGATGCCTCCAAGATGAAGGCAAAATAGAGTGTCGAGTCCTAAGGTGGTGTTGATACCATGTTAAAATATGTATAACGCCTTCGAATCTTTTTAAAAGGAGCTATTATAAAGAGATACGATGTTCTACATGTATACATGTTTGATGGTCTGACAGGGTCGTGTCGGATATGGAACAGGACCCTCAAACTTCTGGGGTTCTCTTATATACGTTTTAACCTTTAGCCTAATTATAATGTTTTAGACTTTTTACTCTTTTAGCTGATTTAAAGATTTTAAATTTTACTTTTCGAAGAATATGACTCTGTCGTTTTAAGGTTTTAAGATTCTGGCTTTCGAAGAATGTAATTCTTTTAGCTAATTAAACGATCGCTGGTTCCCAATCATAAGACTCTCATACATTACTTTGTTATTTTAAACTGTTTTGACTTGTACTCTTGGTACAGGCGAAACAGGATCTCCAAAAAGATTGGAACACCCCTATGTTTCATCTCTGGCCAACATAAGACCTCAACGGCTTAAAAAATATTTCGGTATTCTACAGTTGGAGTAATAAAGTTAAGACAAAAGGGTGTCCAAATGAATGAATGGCTTGGTGAATTGTGCAATTAGGATATGCAAAAGGACCAAATATAATGATCCATAATTTGGGAGGGGTGAAAGTGTAAATATTTAAAAAATACACACATATAGAGACAAATTAGTCTGTGGAAAAGCAAGCTTTGTAGTTTGTACCCTGACGTTGTACGAGTTGTACGTTTGCGTGGATGTCACGATGATCATCATATTTACTTTTGTTTCCCAAAAAAAACTTTAACTTTACTTTTTTAGTCCCTCAGGATTCATTAATGACATTCCAGTCCCTTTAAACTATTTTTAAAATCTAACAACTATGTGTAAGTTTTGAATTCAATTCTTATAATGATACATACATATATTTAATAAGTAGCATAGTGAATCATGGCAGGCAGTTGTTTCTTGTTTTAAGCAAGATTTTAAATAGCATGAAGCTTGACGTGATGACAAGGCTACAACGTTTTTCATTGTGTGAAATATGGTGGAAAATCTCTATACCGTAATATATATATATATATATATATATATATAAACATATGTTTTCTACCATTACTGAATGAGTTAATGATATTAAAGAACTTAAATTAGGTTTTAGTTAAAAACTAACAAGTAAGACATTAAAACGGTAAAAATAATCATATACTGCATTAACAAAACCGTGCATTAAGCCGTAACGTGCTACATGCTCAATGTCATGGCTTAATGTGACGTCAGACACAAGTCTTGAGTCATGGTCTGTCACACGTTTGTTGCAATGAGTTTTTTGGAACACTGGTTTTAAATCATTTCTTCAATCGTACAGATTTATATACAAGTTATTATATCTATGAGTTTAAGAATTCATCATCAATGGAATAACTCAAATGTCCCAAGAGACAATTGAGAAAGAATCTAACAAAGGCAGAATGAATTGACCAAACATAGAGAAGGAAACAAGAGTGCCTTCATTTTGGAAAATGACAAAAATGTCCCCATGGCATTGGCTTATTACAGCTGGGCAAAATTGTCCCTTCCTTCTTGAAAACCAAATAAAATTCATTCATAAGTATTGATCAAATTCAAGTTAAGATGGGTTGGGACCATTTTGCACCTAAACTAAGATGTTGAGTCCCATGCATCATTTGTCCTTTCCCTTTTAAGCCAATGGGCAAATTTGTCTTTTCCCCTCAAAACAACACTTTGGTTAACAATCTTTCTGTATAATTTCAAATCAGATAAATTTTTATCCTCATTATCGAACAATAGAAGAGAAATCGTGCTATCATGACTTGTACATTATGCATATAAGATTGTACATTAGGACTTCTTTGATATCTTACCATCAATACTTGTGAGTTACTCTTTGACTGTATATTATGCATAAAAGATTATACATAAAATACAACCCTTGAGGCAGGTTATTATCATAAATAATCACATGGTGAAAAAACTTTTACTTTTTAATCACCTCCAAACTTTTTCTCACAACCAAGAAACTGCAAGTCAACGCCGCAAGACACTTTTTCTTTGCGATGCCATAAGTTGTGGCTTTGACTTGCGATGCAGCAAGCTACAGCGTCTCAATTTATTGTGGTCAGAGAAGCCCACTTCTCATCTGGGTGTAAAAGAAAATACCAAAAACTGTAAGAAAAAGTGTAACTGTTGAGTTACAATTTCTTCACTATTTTATAAGACAAAGTTTGGAAGTCATTAAAAAGTAATTTTTTTTAACCATGTGGTAATTTTTTTGATTAGAGGTGAAAGTTGGTGAAGAAGTAAAAGTAAAAGTAAAAGTAAAAGTAAAAGAAGCAAGAGAGGGAGAGAATTATATAGATTTGATGAAAGGGTAAAGCAACCAAATCCACTTTCTCCCTTCAATTCAATCACTTTACCAATCTTGAAACCAATACCCCACTTCAAGATTATTTTGTCTATCAAATTGTTGGTACCATTTAAACTATGAACTAAATAATTGGTATCATGTTTTTCTTTGTTAAATAATGTTTAAAAAAAAATATATTATTAATTATATATTTTACGGTATACGATAAATTAAATGTTATTTTTATCTTAAAAAGTTCATACAGGACTTATGTAGTTTAGACTTTGAAATTATAAGAAAATACAAAACGGGTTAATCAGTTTTGTGAAGGAATTCATTTATGATCTACCAAAATAGTTGTAAATGAAAAAATACATTTACTTTATAGGGTAAATTGCATGAAAAAATAACGTACTTTAACTTGATTTTTATTTTGGGTAACGTACTTTTAAGAGTTTCGTTTTCGTATAAAGTTTTAAATATTTAAGTACCCAGGTAATCGTTTGAAACATTAACCGGTTATCATGTTGATCTGGCGAGTGATGTAATATATACGTTATTAATTTTATCATATTTTTTGAAGTTGTTTAAACTGAACTTGATTTAAATCAACATGAATCCATAATTATCTGATATTCATAATTTTTACGGTTCAACAAGTGACATAACTACAATAGTTTGATAATATTCACAAGGGCATATCATATAAATGGAACAATTGTTGTATTCGTTCTTATATTGATAAACTAATTTCAAAACTTCTTATTTAAAAAAACATAATTCAGTTACCAGATCTTTTAAATAAATATTGTTCAAAATTATTTTAGAATCAGATTTAGACAAAATCAATCTCATTTCCTTTCCACAAATATATTTCTTAAAAACACCAAATGGTCTTTGGCCTATCAGTATCGTAACCATTGGCTTCTTGAGAGGTCAGAGGTTCAAACCTCACCAAATGTGAAGAGAGTGTGCGAGTTTATTTATTGTATATAAATATTATATACTTTAAAAACAATATTCCTAAAAACACATGTTACTTTTGGATAAGAGAGCTTTCATTATCCATGAATTTGTACCAAAAATAGGAAGAAAAAAAATAATATGAAGTCTTTGATGTACAAGCAATGAAGTGGTCCAACAAAGACATTGGTTCTTCAACTTTTGCTTTATTATTATCGGAGTAAACTATATATTTGTTCCCTTTAGTTTGTCAAAAATAACACTTTTCGTTCTTACATTAAAAATTACAAGATTACCATCATGGTTTATAAAAACGTCCACATTTTTTGATCCCTTTAGTTAACGGTTGTTTAAAAAATTCCAATACATGATAAACATTTTCGTTCTTTATGATTTTTTTTTTTTTTTGTATTTTATCCAACAAAAAACCATAGAGCCGAAATCATAAAATGTATTTTAATCAGATAAAGACAAAAAAAAATGACAAAAATGTCTCATATTTACAAGTAATAATAATAATAATAGTCGTTAGGAGGAGGTATTATATCCAGATGTTTTTGTAAACCACGATGGTCGTCTTGTAATTTTAAAACTGTAATATTACTTCCAACAAACCAGATGGACCAAATTCACTTTTTAATCATTTTTCAATCAAAATCTTATTTTAGTCAGAGTTTATCAACACATTTGCATAGAACTTGCTTTCAAATTAAAAAAAGAATTTGCAAAAATAATTTTTTTTTCTTTTTTTTAAATATGAAAATAAGCTTTATGCAAATATCTTCAGCTAAATTAGGAATCCATGCCAAAAGTGAATTTAGCCGAAAATACCGACTATTTTGATCAATTTCCCAAACCATTTTCTTGAATTATCCTTTAAAAATCAAGAAAACAGTAGATAGCATTCATGCTTTATGGGTCAAATTCAAAAGTTAGGTTAATTGCTTAATGATGGCAAGTTGATTACCATCTGTCTTGTCATATCCACTCTTCCAACATCATTTGTCCTATTATTTCTTAGCTACATTCCAACATTACTTACACCCATCACAAACACAAAATTCACCCAAAATCCCCCTTTTTTTCATATACTATAATGACTTGTACCTCATGCATTAAAGGTTGTACCTCACTGTTATGTAAATCAAGAATCAAAATTGCAAAAAAGGGAAACTGTGGCAAGAGACAAGAAACCTATTCATACCAGCTTGTTTGGTCACCCTCATTGCGGTTTGCTCACGATGAGTCCCCGGACCACACGTCAAATCACCAGAATGGCTCGTAAACAAGTGAACGATGAGTTGCTTTCGGTGTTCATCCATAATCTGAGAAACCAAAAAGTCTGAAAGAGATGGGAGATTTGAAAAACAAATAATTGAATCAAGAACAGTGAAGCGGAATAATATTCGAGCATTACAAGTTCTGATGCACAGTGTATATCCTCATGGGTGTTACCGACATCTTTGGTATTTTGAAGTTGCGAAAAAACCGAAAAAACCCACCAGACTTTTATATTTTTGAGTGTTTAAGTTCACAGACATTTTTCTGAATAAAGAAATTTATACATCTGTTTGTTAGCAGCTTATGAGTTTAGAGCATCCACTATGTGCTTTTTAGGAGGTTTTTCACTTAAGGTTCTTTTCAACATAGTGGCCACTTTTTTATTGGAGGTTTTTAGTGAGGTTTTTCATCATAAGTCGTAACTGCACAACCTGTTTTTTTCAAAGGTTCTCGTATTCAATCAGTCTTATTTATTAATATAATTAAAGTAATCATGTTTAAATAAAATTAATAAATAAATATTGTAATATATATATATATAATTAAAATGGTGGGACCCTGAAAATTTTGAAAAAGCTTGAGTAAGGTTTTTGGTTTAGTGGAGGTACTGTTGAGGTTTTTAAGCTGTTGAGGTGGCGATGACGTGAAATGAAAATGCTATGAAAACCCCCAGTTAAAACCTCAACATTGTAAATGCTCTTAATAGAACTCACAGTTTATTCAGTCAGTTATACATGATTGTTTAGTAGTGACTTAATGATACATAAAGTGTTTTATTTAACAAGCTTATAGGGAGAGCTTTATGCAAAAAGCTAAAAAAATTCTAAAGTTGCCCCTCCCAGTTAAAACACACACTCCTTTCTTCTATGAAACAACCTTCCTAAACAAAAACTTTCTCAACCTATACAGACTACTTTAATCCATACAAATAGCCTTATCCATACAGTACTTAGGGGGTGTTTGCAATTGCTTATTTAAAATGTTTATTAACTTATCCATACAGACTACTTTAATCCATACAAATAGCCTCATTTCTATCATTGCTCTTACCGGATAAGATTTGTGACTATTGTCATGTTCATCCGATAAGGAAAATTACCCAGTAAGCACTTACCGGGTAAGCATTTAGTAAACGGCCCCTTATTCTGTAAGTGCAACGATTTATTTGTTAAAAAGAATGTCCAGGTGCTTAATCGTTCAGAATATGAAAAATCCGCTAAGTTTCTCGGACTTTTCCCGTTCAAGTTCTTAAACCTGGGTAACTAGAGAGGAAGTACAACTACTGATGCACAGCTAGCCTTGTCACTTGAACGCATAACCTGATTAGTTTAATTCATTATGCAGAACTTGTTACAAGTCTAGCAGCATATAGTACAACACATTTATGCACTATCCCATTTGAGGAAGTGAAGATAGCATATGGTTTTCCATTTGCTATACAGCATTTTCCTGAAAGGAGATGCAGTAAAGTAACAACCTGATGAATTCAGTTCAGTGATTTGGGGACTCCAAAGCAGGCTTGGAAGAGCTGCCAGAAAGGAAACAATGACTATGACAGATTAACTCATTCCAGCTGGAAGAATCAAGAACGTACCTGATGCGATTATACTTGAGAATACAAAGAGCTAAACCACAGAATCTGCATAAACCAAAACCAAACGAACCCAGTATATCCCACCCTAAGGTGGGTCCTCTACCCCAAAGAATCTTCATATCAGACCATAATAAGATTTTCCCACCTATAGGTGGGGTCCGGTAAGGGTATGACGTTATGCAGAGCTAACCTCTACCCCCAAAGAATATGCATTTATCAAACCATAATGATAAAATTTGGCCATAAAGAATGCGAAACTGAGTGGAGTTTCATCAAGAACAGTCATCTTTAACTCATTGAAATTTGAATGGAACACAATAGATGCTGAAAGGGAAGGGGTCAAGTGGATAAACTGACGGGCAATTAGCTTGCCTTTTCCAGAAGCTAGTTTTGCAAAATGATCCTCTAGTGTATTTCTAAGTTTTGACAGGAGCAGGCTGATTTTAGCCATGGCATGTCAGATGAAGTTATAAAAGGTCATGCTCTTAATTGAAAACTCATTTAAAGTCATTTATAGAAATGACCCATCAACCAACACAGGATAAAGGGCAGGCAGGCTTACCAACTTTGAAATTCTTGATGAAGAACGCTAACAAAAAATATATGGTCCCTGAGTTCTGCAGCTAATGCAATATTGACATAGGTCAACAAGTCAAAACCATCTATCTTTAGATAAATGATGCAGACACACAAACAAAATGATTTTGTGGCTGCTGACTGCAAGTAACACTTGCTGAAATCAGAAGTGGGTGTAGAGCAAGCTTACCTGACCATAGATTACATGTAGAAGGCAAGCCTGACTTCAAATCATTTCTACAGTTGGATTTGTGTTTTAATCACCAGTTCCCTGTTTCAGGTAGCACATAACACATACTACAGCAGTTAAAACCAGAGGTCATAAGACTCTGATCTTCAACCAGAGAAGGGATGCAACAAGGAAAGATAGAAAGAAAATGACATGAAAGAAAGAAGGACGAAGAACTGGCATAAAGAACATATTTGATCCAGAGTTGCCTAAAAAGTGCTTCATTTACAAAAAATGATGCATACTTTTGGGCAACGATATCAACCAATAACATATAGTATAAGGAGTAAAGAAAGCCTATAGCCTCAGTAAAAATTATGGATCACCTTGATTAGAATAAAGAAGAATTTAGGTTTTCCAACATTCATTCAGCTATATGTATCTTTATGTCTTAATAATCATGTTGGATAGTACTTTTTAAAAACAGCTATTAACAGAGTAGTGTATGGCTTTGGGGCAATGGTAGCAGTACTTACACCTTAGGAAGAGAATGCACGATAGCCAATTACGAATGATCAAATATATAAAATTGTGCTATCTATGTCGTTTGCATGCAAGATTGATCGTAGAAACATAGCAAGGCAGCATCATGCACCTTTGTTTAACATCACTTGAAAATAATACAAACTATAAATGAGCTTAGGAAACTATTATTGAAATTAGATGCTGCCTTAACAAAAAAGAAAAGCTATGCGGATTGTATCCAACAATCAACAAGTTAAGGGAGAAACCTTTAAACTTCTAATACCAAAAAAATGGAACCATAAACAAGATATCTTGATCATCATGCAGCCACAGGGGTGGAGGCAGCATTCTCTTTAACACATTTCATGGAACTAAAGAGATTTAAAACTTCTACATGGCTTCGGATATAGCGTGGGCATTTTGAAAGAAGATCTTGGGCTTGGCTGTGCCTTCCAGCCTTGAAGTATGCCTTAAAGACACGCATGTAGACGGCTGTAGATGGTGACCTCTTCACAGTCATTGCTTTCAAGAACATAAGAGTATCCTCAGTAGTCCCAGTTTTTGCAACAGATTTAACAAATGGATCCAAGAAAGGCGGGTATCCATGATTTTTCATGGGAGGAAGAAGGTTAGTAGCTTCTTTAAATAACCCATTATCCAATAGCTTGCTTATTAACAACTTGTATGTAGTATGCCAAGGCTCAACTCCTTTCCCAATGACCACCTCCGACAGAAGTTTGTAAGCTTCGGCTGCTCTTTCCTTGGAGCAAAATGCACTTATCAACATTTCCAATGCATAGCCAGCACCTGAGGAGCCTTCCTTTTCAATCATCTTTTGAAAACAATCACAAGCTTTATCCAGGTGCCCAGAAAGACAGTATCCTTCAATCAGAGATCCCCAAGTTTTGTAACTTGGAGCAGTCCCGGATGCTTCCATCAAATCAAGAAACTCACTTGCTTCCTCTGTTTTACTGTCCTTGCTGAGCTGAAAAGCAATTTTACCTTGCAACTTTTCACCAATAAGAAAACCAACTTCCTCCATTGCTCGCAGGATCTTGTTGCACTCCCCGTATCTACCAACACTCATTAAAGATTTGAGAACAGCATCCAATGCAGTATTCGTAAGTGTATTCCCACTCTCCTTATAAATCCTTAACACTTTGGAAAACAAATCCATATCTAACTCATTACTGGTCACTATTTTTCTCAAAAGGAAGGGGCAATCCTGCACCGAGGGCTTAATATTTCCACCCATAGCAAACTCATACAAATCAACTGCATCTTTCAACATTTTTTTCCTAACAAATTGATTCAGAACTCTAATATAAGTAGCCTTCTCCAAGTCATACCCTGCAGTCCTCATTTCATCAATCAACCTCCAGAATTTGTCCATATAATCTTCTCTAGCCAACTCTCTTGCAATAGCATTATAAGTCTTCTCATCATGTTTATATAAGCCACTCTCCTCAATCCACCTAAAGAATATAACTGCTTTATTAGGTTCTGTTCCAAGATTTTCCAGCACCGCCTTAACCAGATCACCCGAGAACACAACACCCATCTCCTGCAACTTTGTTTCAACATCATCCCCCCACGGTACCTGTCGAATAACTTTACAAACTCTAGAGCTAGCTTTCTCGACCGAATCATCCACTGACCCCAATGCAAACAAACCTTTCAACTTCTGCACATCACCTTCCATGCCTTCCTCCTCAAACTTTGACATGGCTCTAACAGACGCACCCTTCTTCACTCCATACCCTTTCTTCTTCATAATCTCAACCAAATCCCAAAACTCTTTCACCAACCCATTTGCCCCCAACATCCCCAACATCCGATTACATGAATTGGAGCTCAAATTATCACCTTCCTTAGACATAACCCAATCAAAAAAAATCTTAGCAGCTCCAGGTTCAGAACCGCGATTATTAAAAAGTTCGTTAACATAATCACTAGCTAGGTCCTTTTTTGACCTCAATTCGAGCATCACATCTTCATTACTTTTGACTGGATCTGAATACAGTTCAATCAATGCTGATGTAATAACAGATTGATCCGAGACTTTGTTTTGTTCAACAGCGAGTTCAGATGACGAAGTGAATAACCGAGGGAAACTAGGGTTTTGGAAACGAATTTGAGGTGCACCCGATTGAGGGATACGTGAATAGAAAGTGCGATGATGAGAAAGAGGAACGGTAGTTGATGATTGTACCTTGAAATGAAGCTCAGAAACAGGTTTGCATCGTTGAAAGAGGAGACGCCATTGATTTCTCATTGCTGGTTTTTGGGGTTTTAGGATACAACAGAGATTTCGGCTGATGGAAAAGAGGGGTTTTGTGAATCGGACTCGGATACGCTTTTAGGTCCTATGGATCATGATTACTTCTATGCATGCTTCCTCCAAAACCGACCCGACCCGACCCGGTTTATTATATTTCAGGTTAATTCTGCTCCCTGCATTTAAGCTAATGTAGGTAAACAAGGAGGCGTTTGGTTGAGGATATTGAGCGGAAAGGAATGATCAAGGTCGGTTTTAAGATTTTTGATGTTCTGTGTGAAAATAATAAAAATGTTTCTAAGTCTATTTTTTTTAAGTCAAAGAAATAACGAAACATGCGATTTTTTAAAAAGTTTAGAAACTATTCAAGCTAAATATCTCATCCTCATGTTGATTTTTATTAATTATAATAAAAAAAATACAATAAAGGGGGGACACAAAAACCAAAACCTTGAATACAAAATATAAGAGAATAAATTCTGGATTAAAATCATGCTTCCTTCTTTTCCAATTTTTCCTTTTCCAAATTGAAATTAGCAAAACAGAAACTTTATTTTAATATATGGGACTTCAAAGACAAGAAAAACTATAATTAGTTTTTAACTAAAATAGTAATTAACATCCAAATTACTGTCATAGGAAGCAAAAAGTAAAACTCAAAAGTTACAGGTCTAACGACTAAAGGCTAAGGGCTAATCTGTTAGCAGCTTAATAAGTTTAATGGAACTAACAACTTATTCGCTCAACTATGCATGATAGTTTCGTAAGAAAGTGACTTATCCAATAAGCTTCTAGGGGGAGCTTTATATAGAATGCCAAGTTTTTTTTTTTCAAACATGTCCCTTCTAACTAAAAAAACGCTCCTTACATCTGCGAAAAAACTCTCCCAAACAAATGTTTTTCCACCTTTCCAACTTTTTCCTACGATATGCATTCAATATTCATCACTACTATGCCTTGAGTCTGTTTTTATAGTTAAAGCTCAGTTGTCCAATTCCCAAATTATTAAACTCAAAACTAGTAATAAATGACAACTTGATGCCCCTTTAGGCTTTGATGTCCTGTGCGGCCGCATAGGCTGCACGTGGCCAGGGCCGGCCCTGGGAATGATAATGATAATGATAATCAGTGATGGATTCAGAAATTTTTATAGTTGGGGGCACACTTATGGGTGTAGAAAAAAAAAATTCAAAACCAAATAATTCATCTGGATGAAAACGGTTTTGGGTTTTCCTTTTCGGCTTAAACGGTTCGGTTAACCGAATAAAGATAACTTATTCAGGTCGATTTCAGTTGATTTTTTACTAATTCGTCGAGATGTATATTTTTTATATTTTATATTTTAAACAAAAATATCAGTGTGTACTGCAAATGAACCAATTAACAATCAAGATATCAAGTAGGGGGTCTTGTCTTGTTCTTGTTAGGGGCTCTTGCCTAGTTCTTGTTGGTCGCACAATAGAAAATTTTACTAAACAAATCTTTTTATAGCTTTTCTTTTTAAAATTGGTGCGTTTGTTGGGGGCCTAGGACCCGTACCACCATGCACTAGATTCGCCCCCGTTGAAAAACGTGGTTCAGTTAGATATTATATAATGGGTCCATCACTCCAAACCCATTAATTTCCGTACCCGACAAAATTGGGGGAAATAAAAATTTTATTTCTACCCGTTCCTCTTGAGAATGATAATGAAATACGTGGTTTAGTTTGATATTATATAACGAGTCCATTACCTCAAATCTATTAATTTTCATACCCGACAAAATTGCGAGAATGAAAATTTTATTTCTGCCCAGTCCTTTTTTCCCGTTTGTCGCTCGATCTCTTGATGATGCATGAATTTTTTTTCCTGTATTTTCAAGTCAGACGGAATATATTTGTATTAAAAAATATTATTTAAAATGATTTTTCATTAATTATACCGATTTAACCAAACAGCATCAATTTATTCATTTATATTTCCATTCTATTGGATTTTTATTTCCAGTCCTATTAATAATATTTTATTTTTTTTGGATAAAATCAAATAAAATATTACATAATATGCATACGTGAATAATAAAATAATATATAATTTTTTATAAGGAGCTCTTTACATGTAGAGAGCGGGATAATGAAAATTAATGTAACGAGTGTATTGGAGATGCTTTATGCATGATTTCCGTTTGCATAATTTTGATTATTGAAGTTATAATAACGACTTTAAAAATTCATAATTGGCTCTCAAATTTTAGCCAAATTTGCATAAGTCGATACACACTTAAACCTTGGCTTTGCACATACAACCTTGGATTCCATAAGCTCTTTGAAATACGAGTTTAACAGGTTCGTACAAAGTTCAGTATAAATGTTTTTAGAAAAACTATAAATAATATGTTCGTAAAAAGGGGCAAAAAAGTACAATTACGTTTTGGGTCGGAAAAGCTTTATGGGTTTAACGTGTTGAACCTGAGTCTTGTTATAGATAGTTTAGCTTGGATTAAACTCGTCAAGCTTTTTGATGGAACTCACGAACTATCATGAGTCATCTCGTCTTTTCTACACCGTTACAACAACTGCAGACCATAACAAGTAATCAAAATTTACATGTTATCGAGAACAATTACTACATATCATATATATTTTTCGTAATAAAAAATAAATATTATATTCGTATGTATAATTTAAAGAACAATTAATTTGCCCTTCAAATATATAAAGAAATGATGTAACAAACATACTTCATTCTCATCTGCCAAATTATCAGAAAGTAACGTTGATGGCAGTCGTACAAGGTTGTGTTCCGATGAGAATGAAAGTTATGGTAAGAAGGGCGAGAATAGATCTCTACCCTTGGATCATCCTAATTGAAGATAATCACTAGATCAATATTAATGAGATACACTAGATTAATTCCCTTTTAAAACGCAATTCATGGGTTTGTTTTGGAATTAAAAGTGATCAAGGATCCAAATCCCTTCTTACACTTCTCACTCTAATTTCTATTCTTACACGATCCTTCATCCAGTCGTGCATAGGTAATGAATATTTAAACATACGCTAAAACACTTGTACTAGGTACAGCCAAAAAAAAAAAGAACCAGTTATTTTATTAGAACAAACATTAGAAAAATCCGATACATTGGGATTTTTTTTTCTTTTCATTCGATGATAATGATATAAAAATATAAAAATGAGGAAATAAAAAGGGTCCTAATGAAATATAATGGCGAAGAGATCCATCGTGGTTCATTTGTTCATCCCAGTTGCATCCTTCACTGCCTGTGCCGCATCTTGTGCTTTTGCTTGTAGTTGCTGACCAGCCTACAGTTTTTTCGATCATTAATTAATTCAATAGCAAATAAAACAATTTTTGGGTCGTTAAATAAAAATTAAAGGTGAACCTGTTGCATTGAATCCTTAGCAGACTGGGCAGCATTGCTAGCTTGGTCCATCAACTGGCTTCCTTTTTCCTAATCACGTATTTTAACAACATACAATCAGATATTATATTTGTAAAAAAGATTATAAGTCATTACTGTACAAAGATTTAATTGCAAATATCGAATCTTTTTGAAGGTTTGAAAAGCTTCGCTATCTGTCGTTAGCATACCAACAGTAATTTACCGAGCAAGGATCAAACATGAGATTTAAACAGAGATGCTTAATTCAAACATGGGATTTTAAACGGAGATGCTTAATAGAACACATATTTATCAGATCGTTTACGCGAAGATTCGAGTATAATATTATAATCGTTAAACACGATCACATAATCATATATATGAACCGTTGAATGAACATTCGATAAATCTTTGTTTTATCTGATGTTGGTGCTGAATCAACCTAGGGAGATTAGTTACCTCTGCTTGGCCTTTAGCCTGACCAGCTTGGAAATTGGCGCTCTGTGTGTTGTTCATTTTTCTTTCTGAGGTTGGTATTTGTTTATATAATTACACTGGAAATCTCAAAGATCAAATGATGGTACTGATGAGAAGGTAAGGAGAGATAGGAATTATATATGGTATTTTGAAGACGGAAAAAATGGCAATATGTCTAATATTGATACCGAAAGAAGTTCCATAAACTTCTCGTTATCACCCTCGCCTTCACTTTGCATGTTTTTAGGCATTTGAACAGTAAGGGAACACGATAGACAGTTATGTTATTTCTATTTATATATATTTGAATTAGTGGACGATATTTATGAAATGAGAATAGTTGGAAAACTATGGACATGTGTCCAAACTTGGTTTGGGAGGTAAAATTGGCAATTTTTTAATAATTGTGGATATTCATACTAGCTGTATAAACGATACAAGACAGCTCGTGAGCTATTCGAGATCGACTCAGTCAATACTCGACTCAAATAGGTTCGAGCTTGACTCGAAATATTAACGAGTCGAGCTATCCAATACTCGACTCGAAAAGCTCGTGAGATACTCGATTATATATATATATATATATATATATATATATATATATATAATTAGCTTAATCAATTTTATAATATAATTTGTAAAATATAATATAATGAAAATGTCTTACATTTTTAGATATTTGAACAAAATTATGCATTTTTTAACTATAAAAACTAATCAATTATTTTATAATTAAAATCATAATTAGAAAAAAAAAACTATAAAAATGTTGGTGAATATGTTCCACATTGGAAGAGAAATAGTAAAGGAACGGTGAAGAGGTGTTATAAAAAGAGAGTGACATAAATGCACTTTGTAATTTTGTTTTTTTGAAGATAAAATTTGAGGTGGATTCCTTTAGTTTTCTAAAATTTAACCGAACATCTTAAAATTTGTTTTATAATTTTTAAGAGAATGTCCTAAAATTTATATAAATTTCAGTCGGTGAGAATGGTTCGAACTTGGTTCGAGTTCGAGCTTCAAACGAGTTCAAGTTTAAAAATTTGCAATAGAGCACGAGTCGAGTTTAGTTTTTAACTACTTGCGAGTTTTCGAGTCAAGTTCGAACTTGATAAATTACTATCGAGTTCGAGTCGAGTATGTCGGTACTTGAGCTCGACTCGCATCATTTATACCTCTGAGCTCGACTCGCATCATTTATATCTCTGGTCCAGACCAGCTTGCACATACATGGATTAATCTTATGAAGCCTTAAGATAACAACAAAAAATTCTGGCAAGATTCAAACCGATAACCCGTACATCAGCTTTTTCCAAAACCAGATCGTGCTCTAACGCTGAAATGACCAAATTTGCGAAATTTGCCTTGGTTGATGTGCGAATTCCCAAAACACATGCACCCACACGACAATAACGACATCGAGACTAATATGATTCAAGCATCAGTATAACATAACAGAACCGTAATGATTTTGTATTACATTTTAAATAAAATATCATATAATAATTTAAATATTGAATAAACAATGAATAATAATTCGAATTAAAACATCCAAAAAAGAAAAAAACAATAAAAATATTAATATATAAATACAAATCCAACTCCATCAATTCGAAAATCCAAACCCCATCTGCACACGATCTTCAGGTGTTGGTCGGAATGAAAATGGTGTAGCATAATCATGAACTTCACCTCTGGCTCTATTAACAGCTTCAAGTATATCGTCTTCCGTCACAAATTCGCCACCTAAAAAAATACCATGATAACGTACGTTATTAAAAAGAACATCACGCGTTGAAACTAAATCATTTGGGATCGTTTATATCGGGGGTTTATTCAGCTAAACAACCTCCTGTCAACTGCTTTATATATATATATAGAGAGAGAGAGAGAGAATTTATTTCAAATACAAACTGCTTTATATACATGTATGAGGTAAATTGAGCAAAATAGTCAATCTCTCTGCCTAAATTCACTTTTTAGCCTTTTTTTTTTTAATTAAATTCACTTTTTACCCTAGTTTAGGCAAAGGTAAAGCCTATTTTCAGATAATTTAAAAAAAAAGAAAAAGAAATCTTTTACGCAAATTTGTGTAATCTGCGTAAGGATCCCCATTTGCACAAAAAAATAAGCTTTACGCAAACGCTTTCTTTGGCTAAAATTGGGAATTCCATGCCAAAAGTGGCTAAAAGTGAATTTGGTTAAAAAGATCGACTATTTTGGTCAATTTCACGGTATATTACCTTCCGACAAGTTTTGAAACATTCAAATTAACTAGTGCCAGAAGGTCATGAATTTAAAAAGAACATGTTATAAGGTCATTTAACGGGTTTAGATTGAACCTCTTCTACCAGCAAGGAGAACGGACTCTCGGGCTATGTTTTCGAGATCGGCCCCTACGAACCCTGGAGTGAGCGATGCAACAATCTTGCAAACGGCTTCCTTATTATTGTCCTCCATTGGGACATCCCTCAAGTACAGTTCAAAGATGTCTTTCCGACCACTTTCATTTGGCTCATCCACACGAACTTTCCTCGAGAACCGGCCCGGTCTCATCAGAGCTGAATCCAGCGTTTCGGGTCGGTTCGTAGCAGCGATAACCACCACGCTTTCCTCTTTCTCGAACCCATCCATATTTGTCAAAAGCTAACACATATATAAAAGGATCCGTGTCAAATATATTGTATAGTAGTTTGACCTCAAAAATGAAAGAATTATTTGGAAAATAACCTTCTCAAACTTTTTTTAGATGCATGATCTTGTGAAAAATTTTGAGGTATTTTTATATGTCCCTAAGGGTGCGTTTAGCATCAAGACCGGACAAGATTAAATCGTTGTTCAGTATTTAACTGATTACCCTAATGAGTTGTTTATATATTTTGATTAATTTTATGTAATTCATTATATTTATAAAAATAATTTTAATAACAAAATATATCAATAAAAAGTTTCATTAAGACGATTAAAATGACACCAAAATAAAATGTTCATGTAATTTCTAAATTTTGTTTTGTACCTTTTCTATATTAATTTTTTATTACTAATGTTTAATAAATTACATAAATTAATCAAAACATGGAAACCAATATAAAAATAACATTTTGAGGACAAAGGCATACTTGACGTTTTAACATAAAATACAATAAACAAAATTTAAAGAATGAATAAAATATAAAGAGAAAGAGGCATATTTGATGTTTTACAAAATAATTAGGTTTTATTTTGAGATTATATTGGTAAAATATAGGTATGTCCACTTTGTTCCATGGGGTGGGGGTGGGGGTGGAACACGCCTTGTTCCACTTTGTTCCATGGGATGGGGGTGGAACACACCTTGTTCCACTTTGTTCCATGGGGTGGGGGTGGAACACACCTTGTTCCACTTTGTTCCATGGGGTGGGGGTGGAACACACCTTGTTCCACTTTGTTCCATGGGGTGGGGGTGGAACACATCTGTTCTGTTTGTTATACATAAAGAGTGTTCCTGTCTATTCCACATAGAGTGTTCATGTCTGTTCCACATAAGAGGCCTGACAAATGTGAAACTGTTTCGTGTCTAGTGTACCAAACGCACCCTAATGTTAGGCATAGACGTTCTTAAATGTGTCAGATAGTCATTCATTCAGAAGGTTATTCATCTAAAGAACCCAAAATTTTAAAAGTACGAAAGTAATGGTTACTTGGTTTAGCGTCTGATCACGTTCACAATTCAATGTTCTCCCACGTTGGCCCCCAACGGCATCTATCTCATCAATGAAGATGATAGATGGTGAATTCTTCCTCGCCTCACGAAAAAGATCTCTAACACGAGCAGCTCCTCTACCGACAAAAACCTCCACCAATTCACTAGCGGAAATGGAGAAAAACGACACCCCAGCTTCTCCGGCCACAGCACGGGCCAGCAATGTTTTCCCTGTTCCTGGAGGACCTGATAATAACACACCTCTCGGTAGTTTTGCCCCGAGTTTCATGTATCTTTTGTCTCCTTTCATGCACAAGACAATCTACAAAAGTGAAAGTGCAAAATTCATTAACTCAAAGTTCAGTTCGATGCTAAGGCCAAGTCCGGCAAACCAACCAATAGCTGTCAGCTGAAAAGCTAGTTGTTGGCCAAGAAAGTCTCCAATTCTCTATAATTTCTTCAAAATGGATAAGGAAAAACTTAAAACCGCCACAAAGAATCTATTCATCTCAAACGGTTTCTCCATATGGGAGATTTCAACTTAATTATATTATTAAAATATTTAAAAGATTTAATATTCCAATAAATTTGATATGAAATGATAGTACATTCAACTTCATCTGTAAGAGCAATAAAAAACCATTCCCTCTCTCTCTCTCTCCAACATTTAATTTTGAAGAGTTCTCTAAATTTGGAAATTTTTATCAGAAAGCTTTGAAGGATCTATTGATGCAAAAAAGTAGATTAAAAACTCAAAAATCTCCATTTTGAAGAATCTGTGGGAAATGCTCTAATAAGCTAGTTCTTATCTGATAAGTTAGCTCCTAAACTACTCGTGTTTGAAATAAAACTAGTTGATAAGGCAAATGACAATATATAATGGCCTAAAGAGCCATGTTGAAAAATTAATTGCAAAAATACAAGGGGAATAGTTGGTAAAAAAAAGTGGGAAAAAAAGCACCAAGCTTATTGAAATGTAATCGAAGTAGCTTTTCAAAAAGCTAACTTATTACTGACAATAAGCTCAAAAAATAATGTGGCCTACAAGAAGGAGATGTATTACCTCTAGAAGTTCTGCTTTGGCAGCATCAACGCCCTTTACATCATCGAATGTTACCGACTGCTTCTTACTCGGCTTTCTCTTTGTTAATTTCCCAAGATCATGTTGAACACTGAGCTGATAACAAGTAAGCAACACCATGATCCAGAAAGGGGCAACTTGAAAGAAAATAAACAAGAAATTCCTCATTGGTTCAGAAAGAAGTGCACGCTTTGATCCATACATGATCCCCTTTTCTTTTAGCAACCGAAGGAGCTCATATTTATCATCTTCGACATTTCTTGTATGATACTGCCATTTGGGAAAAAATATTTTACTAGGCCCAACTAATCGTCTTGCTAGCCAAACAGTTCTTGGAGCTTCAACGGTTTGATCTCCTATAGATTTCGTTCTCGTATTGAAGTATATTTTACGGGAATTCTCCACAAACTGAACCCTTGTTACACTCCCCTCTTGTATGCCGCCAACCAAATCAGAATATGGAACATCCACACAGCGTGAAGGATGTGGCGTCGGGAGCCTGCGAGAACATAGCCCCAATACGACACAAAAAGAAGCTCCAACTACAATTGCATAAAGCTTTGCGGGGAGTTTACTCCCAGTTTTCCTTTTACTTCTATGGATATTTGTTCTTTTCGATTGTGTGTCTGTGAAAAAACTCGAAGAGAAAGCAAGAGAAAGTCCCAAACTTTAGTTGCAAAACAAGTATAAATGATCAACAAGAATGTTGCACTATGAACAAGAAATGCTTCAATTTTAGTACCAGAATCACCAAAGTAGCAAAATTTTCAATTTTTAAGCTAAACAATATATCATTCAACAATTTTAAGTTAACTGTCTCATGTTTTCTGGAAGGCGAAGGTGATAAGAAGTATGATATGCGTGTTTTAAGAGCCATCCACAATTAAGAAACAGATAAGCACCCTTTAGGAAAGTATGCAGTCTGCTTGAAATGAATCGTGGATAAACAGTCTTAACGTTTCACATATAAAATAATACTCTATAAACTTGCATATTCACATGCATGTCGTTTCACATGTGAAACAACATCAAATGGTGTGATTAAAGAAAGTTCCCAAGTGATAACATTGATTTACGATAAATCAATCACATAGATGCCAGATTAAAGGTGTGAAGCAGCAAGAAACAGCCATTATGAACTATGGAGACAGATTCCTCAAGAAATAATTGATATGAAGATTTTGCTTACCCTCTTCTGTATCTGCTGCAGCATCCGCCTTCCTCCAATTACATTTTAACTTCATAATAACAATCAGAATCACTGATCATGTATAGGTATAAATCCACAAAGCAGAATCAAATTGTTGCAAGTATTTCAGAAAGAACAGTAAGAAATTTAACTCCACAACACAAACCTTATTGTCGTTCTGATCGTCGTCCCAAAACAAAAACGAATTGAAGCCAGAGCAATCAATCCTATTCATGTTGCCAACAAAACCTGAATTTCCCTGAAGGAGCAAAACACACACGGAATCGCTATAAATCAGAAACAGAGAATTCTTCAAAATATAACTACTGATTGAAATCATTTACTACAGAAGAATGAAATCAGTTACAAAAAACGTTAACCTTAATAAGTGCAGATATCGGTTCAACAGCATGCATATAAGGCACAAGGCGAGACGGAGAAAGTGTGAAGGAGGAAGATGGAGGTGTATAATAAGACTTTCCAAATCGAAACCTGGATCGTTCTGTAGGTTCTGAGGGAAGGATCAGCGATGGAGACTTCCATAGTAAGTTCGCCATAACCATCGGTTCTCCGGTGATCAAGGGTTTAACGGCCGCAAAAAAGGTGTAGCGTGCGCTTCACGGTTTGTCAATGTCCGATTATCTTGAAGAAAATATAAACAAGTCAAACAGAGAAATGAAGTATTGGCACCTAGTTCACATCGGAGGGAGATGGCGGATTCCACAATGGAGGTCGAGAAATATCGACCGGAGAAAGAAGCCGGCGAAGTATCTGGAAGCAACCGCCAGCTGCAGTAAGGCGGTGGGAGTGGGTTTAGGGATTTAAAAAGAAATCAAATAAATTAACCGAGGGAACAAATGAATGAATTTTTTTAACCTAATCATTTGTGGGTTTGGGTTGGTTTATCCAACGTTTATTGGATAAATGTTAACTCGATAAGTGTTCGTTGTGTAAGTATTTATCAGTAAAAGTTATTATTTTTAATTACGGTAATATTTTTTGTTATTAAAATGGATTGTTCGAAAACATTTATCAGATAAGAGTCTTCTTTTTCATTTATCGGATAAAATTATTGGTTATTGTTATGCCTTTTCGTAGAGATGGCCTAATGGGTATGGCCTGGCCGAACCAGGACCGATTGGGACACGGACCGGCCTAACGATCCGTAATTAGTTACGAATATTTAGTAAATTTCCGGGCCCGGACTAGCACCGGTTATACATAGGGCCTACTTTTTTTTAAATTAAGTTTTTATAAATTATATATCAAGTTTTTTAATATTTCTACAAGTTTTTTACCAAATACTTCAAGTTTTTTTTTTATGCTTTTTAAGTTTTCGAATACTAAATCTCAAAAATCTTAACTATAAAAACATTTATAAAAATGATTTATAAAGTGAAAAATTGAAGGGAAAACGAATGAAAAACATTTCGAACTTATTTAAAAGTTATGGACTGTTTGACAGTTGTTAAATAGTTTAGTACAAAATAATTAAGAGACTCTTATCATGTAATGCAAAATAAAATATAATTGTTTGGTAATTGTTCAGAAGGAAATTAGGGCGTTGAATAGTTTAGAAGAAACCCAAGATACAAAAGCATTCAAAGGGGTTTAGAATTATTAAGAGGCAGATTTTCTTTACCGAACAATATTGAGCTCTTAGCGATTCAGATGTTGCTTTTTAATGAAACTATTAAGAGGTAAACAAACAATCCCTAACTTGTAACGTGGTTTATGACTTACTAAAAGACACCTTCTCCAAAAGAAAGCTTTTTCAATAATTAAAAAAATGTTGGTTTTAAATTGAACTTTTTATCGATTAATAAGTTATACTTTTATTGAGTTGGTTAATAACGTTTTTATGCGAATTTGATGATGACCCAATATTAGATTCAATGTGTTTATGCACATCATGGTTCATGATTTTTATTCTGGTTACTATGGATATCTGACCAACGGTACTTATTTTATTAATACCGTTCGTTAATTGGAGTAGATAAAAATAGAAACTAACAAAGTTGCGGGCCTGTTACCTCCCTGTTCAAATGCCTAAAAACATGTTAATTGAAGGCGAGTGATGGGGAGAAGCTTATGGAACTTCTTTCGGTATCAATATTACATATCTTACCATTTTTGGTCCTCAAAACACCATATATATTTCCATCTCTCCTTTGCAGTTTCTCATCAACACAATCCATTCGCCTTCAAGATTTCCAGTGTATTTATATAAACAAACAGCATTCTCAAAACAGAAAGATGAACAACTCCCAGAGCGCCAATTACCAAGCTGGTCAGGCCAAAGGCCAAGCCGAGGTTACTGATTTTTCTATGTTGATTCATTATCAGCGTTGGATTATCAAATCTCCATTCTACGATCCATTAGATTATATATATTTGTCTATCTATTGTACATAATTGAAAAATATGTTTAAACCGTTAATTATATAAGCATGCCAACGTTGTATTACCATGGGCATATCAATGGCAGATAGCCGAAACTTTTCAAACCTTCGTAAAGATTTGATTTCGGGGTTGAATTTGTACAATAGCTATTTGTAATCGTTTTCGATAACATAATATTTGATTGGATTTCGTTGAAATAGGAAAAAAGCAACCAATTGATGGACCAAGCTAGCAATGCTGCCCAGTCTGCCAAAGAGTCAATGCAACAGGTTGACTTTAACTTTCATTCAACGACTCATAAATTAATTGAGATTACTAAATGCTCTTATACTATTATAATTATTGAATTATTTAATGATTAAAAAAATTACAGGCCGGACAGCAACTGCAAGCAAAAGCACAAGATGCAGCCGAGGCAGTGAAGGATGCAACTGGGATGAAGAAATGAACCTCCATGGATCACTTGAGCATTCTTTTTTATTCGGACCTTTTTTTTATTTTCCCAACCTTTTATAATTCTATCATCATTATTCGAAGGAAACGAAGTAGAATTCCAATGTATTGGATTTTTTGAACGTTTGTTCTAATAAAACAACCCATTCTCCTCTTTTTTGTACGCACACGATACCTTTTGTTTTAATGTATGTGTATGTATGCATATTGGTTTGCAGTTACCGTCAATGTTGCTAACAGATAAGATGTTACCATTAGAATGAAAAATGTGCGTGGTTGTTTGAATCTGGTGAGAAGAGACATGTGACTCGCAAGGGTTCATTAGTTGGTCCATCAAAAAGTTTCGCGAATCTGATCTGGGTCGAGCTTATGCATAACATAAGTTTCATATAACACTTGATTTGGGAGGCGATGCTAACAAGAACGAAAAATGACATGTTTGTCATGCGTCAACTAAGCCAATACACAACTCTATCTTTCTAGCCTACACTCTAATCAAAACGTATTTAACAATGTTTTCTGGTATTAGATCGAAAACGTTGGAACTGAGATGCCCCAAGTTTATGGTATTTGCAAGATTCTTCCTGATCCCCAAATTTCTGAGTTTTACTTTGATCCACGTGGGTATTCCATGAATGTTTGTAGAAAACTATACCATTTTTACCAATAATCACGTGACTCCTAAAGATTTTAATTACGTAAGGTTTGAAGATGTTGGTTAGAACGACAAATCCATGGATCTGACACTTCTGATGAAACAGGGTTTAGCTTGGAACGAGCATGAGAAGTTTTCTAAACGACACAAAACATCTTGACTTGAAGGATAACATTATAAATGTGAAGCATGATCGATGATGTCTTATGTATTCACGAGGAGACGTAGCTATTGCAAGTAGCGTATGTCAACATTGCATGTGTTGTTGGAGCATGAACGAAAGCAAAAAATAAGTAACTTTAATTTTAACTCGTGTAATAATTTTTGTTGTGGTGGGTAGAAACATAATATTTAATTCTTAAACAAGCAGATAATTTATACCAAACCAAAATATATTTATCTAAACATTAGAAAGTTTTTATTTTACTTTAAATCGTAATGATCAAATAATCAATATCAAAACAAATATCCAAACATCCACTTATTAATATATGTTCCAAGAATTTCCAATATTGCCTTAAGCAGATACACCATACTCGTTTTTTTGTTTCTACATCACCCCACGACGCTTGTTATGTATTTGAATTATAAACCTTTTTTTTTAACTATAATCAATCACATGTTGATACACATGTAATACTAAATTATAAGCATGAGGTCGCTCACACACCATCAGTCCATATGTATTGTCACATGTGATAAGGGTGTTCTCTTGTTTTCGTAAAACGAATGTATTCTCGCTTGAATATCCAATATGTATACACACACTTTATTCGGTAGATAAATAAAGTAGGTGACGTTCAATTTGCACTAGAAAATTAATTATGGATGTAGGTTTGATTTTAAGATGGAATGAGAATGTGTATGATTATCGGCGGAAACAAAAGAAGCCAACCATAGAGAAAAAAATTATGAGTTGTTTACCGAGTGGTTACCAATTACTTAGTGTTTATTGTGTGTCACTTACTTTACTAGGTGAACATGACAAAAACCCATAAACTTACACGGTAAGTGAGGGAAAATGCAATTGTCATTAATTCATTTTGATGACTGAGGATGTTAGTCGATAAGGTAAGTAAAGACAGTGACTTTTGTCGATAAACACTTAATAAAAAATACTAAAATGATTAATTGACAATAAGATTTGGATCTTTGGGAATCCTCTTCACATGTCATCGTTACTAATCATGTTTCGTCAGGATCCCAAAGATCAGTCGATGTGCGCACAAGTTGGCCTGATAAAAAAATAGAAATGCAAACTATAAAAATTTCCAAACCCAACCCTTAAGATTCCCAAATTCTTCAATTTCAATCCCATATCTAAGTTTGATGCTTATCGATTAACCGGTGTCGAAAGAAACCCAACCCAACCCAACCAGTTTCCAGAGATTCAAGACTGCTTATCCTCTTCCCACAAATCCTTAATCTAATTATAGCTTTTGGAAGGGAAAACCCCATCAAACTGTTACTAATCGGTTATCGGTGTTGTTTAGCTGGCCATTCCCGGAGCCATAGCTGAGCTCGGAGGTGTGTTACTATCCTTGTAGCGTTATTATTTCCAATCTTGCATCTATGCGTCTAATTTTGTGTGTTTATGCGTATTATTGGTTTCTATATATTGATTTTGAGCGTATTAGCACATAATTATGTGTAATTTGAGCATAAATTTATTGAAGAAACCCTAGTTTTGGTTCTCAGATACCAATCTCCTGCTTATCATTTCACGATTTTGGTACTAAATTTGAGCATAAATTTATCGAATAACAATAGACATATGTTATTGTGAATGGATGATTTTAGGAAATGATATCATTCTATACTGAAATGGATTCTTAATTTGGAACAATTTTTTGTGAAGCGGATTCTAATTGCAGAACTGAGGTACAGGAGTATGCTTCTTGTTCGATTTTTGTTTAATCTGGTATAGTGTTTATCATTTAACAGTAGCAATGGCTGCAGGATTTTCCAATTAATATTTGATTATGTGCAATTGAAGTGCATAAACTGATGGTTAGTTGCAGTTGACCCTCAACTTCGTGAGTCCAATTCGGTGTTGGTAGTTGATGACCAATCTCTTCTTTCTGTATGACTTTTGTTCTTTAGAAATGCTGCATTTTCCCCTTAATGATTGTATTTTGTATCAAAATTCAAGAAGCACATATATAATAAAAGCCTAGCAGCATCTTTTGTATGTAAGCATTTCTGCTAAACCACATACGGGCCGTGTTCTCCTTTCCGTTTCTTGTGATTTATGTTCTGTTTGCGATTATCGATTGTAACACTGATATTGGTCTTTTTTAGTGCTAAAGATAGAGAATGGGTGACACTAATGAAAACAAAGACACCCATCTGCAAACCGGAGAAAATGATGATGATCATAAAAGGAAATTATGGAGAAAATTTAGGCCAAAGCTTTGGTTTTCATCCATTTGGAAACGGTATTCTCTTGAATCAAAGGTGAATGATTTCAAAACATTCTTGAAGATCAATATTGTTCCTGCTTCAATCTCTGTGGCAGTGGGTGTGTGGTATCTGTTCTTGAAATCGAAGGGGTCAAAGTGTAAAGTTGTTCCGTATTCGGACTTATTGAAGGGCCTTCAAGATGGAAGTGTGACAAGGGTTCAATTCAAGGAAAACTCACGTCGTATAATGTACAACAGTAAGCCACGAGGTTTTGAAAGTTCAGAAGTCTTAAAGAAAGGAAAAAATGGTATGTTTAAATTCCAAGAAATGTTGGCAACTCTGCTTACAAAATTGTCAAAAAAACATGACGTCTTGCCTGAATCACACCGATCAAGGATTGATAATGATGAAAAGAAGAAGGAACTCATTGTTAACCAAGTTCCTAATCGTGGGTGGCAGTTTTCTACAAGATACATTGATGATGATTACAGGGAGCTTCTTGATCTGATGAAGGAAAAGGGAACGACATATGGATTAGACCCTGAACCATTTTTGGCTTCAACTGGGAGGCGGGTTTTTTCAACTTTATTAAGTCAGGCACCTTCGTGGGCTATGCTCTTTCTAGTCGCTAATGGGCTAGGCGGTGGTGGCACCATAGCAAGAAAGCCTAGTAAAAACGACACAGTAACTTTTGATGATATTGAAGGTATCGATACCGCTAAGGCAGAACTAATGGAGGTAACTTCTCTCTTTTTGACAACCATGAGGAAAGTTTGAACGAGAACCATTAACATTTTGAGAACCTAGGAACCAACTATTTCATATATTATTCATGATAAATAACCCTGAATAGTATATCCATTTTCATCGTGCATTTTCATCATGAATCATGAATATCTATTACGACATTGATCATGAATAAAACATGAATAGTTGGTTCTCATGTTCTCAAAATATTTACGGTTCTCATATGAACCTCCCCCTTGACAACTAAATGTGAAACACAGCGCAATTTAGTTCAGAAAATGGTTCTTGATTGTTTTGATCATGACTCTGTTTCACTTTTGCTGGGCTCATTAAGGATTTGTTCTTCTTCCTAATCACACGAAATATCATGTAGATTGTTTCATGCTTGCAAGGAGACTCAAACTACGAGAATCTTGGAGCAAAATTACCAAGAGGTATCCTTCTGGTCGGTCCACCTGGAACAGGCAAGACGTTACTAGCCCGTGCGGTGGCTGAACGGGCTGGAGTCCCATTTTTCATCACCTGTGCAAGTGAATTTGTCGAGATGTTTGTTGGAAGAGGAGCTAGTCGCATCAGGGATCTTTTTAAGGAGGCTAAAAAATGTGCACCATCCATCATTTTCATCGATGAACTTGATGCTGTTGGGCTGAAGCGTGGTAGAGGCTTCAACACCGAGGGTGACCAAACGTTAAACCAAGTACATTTTCAGTTTTCACTTGTTTTAACTTATAATATTGAAAACAGGGTAGCTAACTGGTAAAACCTTAGGTTTGTTCCCTGGTAATTATTGGGTCAAATCCACCGGAGGGTTTTTCTGGCTGTTAACTTCAGGGGTCCATGGGATTAGTTGAGGTGGGGCCAAGCTGGTTTGGACAACCACTGTTAAAAAATAAAGTTATAATCTTGATCTGTATTGATGATCCTTTTGGTGTTGACAGTTGTTGACGGAAATGGACGGATTTGAATCAGATAAAAAGGTGGTGGTAATCGCCGCGACCAACAGACCTGAAATGTTGGATTCAGCTCTGCTTCGTGCTGGCCGGTTTTCAAGAAAAGTTTTTGTGAGGGAACCCGATGAGGATGGAAGAAAGAAAATCTTGGCCATACATTTCCGAGGGGTTCCACTCGAGGATGATAGAGATGTGATCTTCGATCTGGTTGCATCAATGACGCCAGGTTTAGTGGGTGCTGACCTTGCAAACATTGCGAATGAAGCCGCTCTTCTTGCTGCACGTAGAGGTAAAACATAACACGAATTAACAACGTGGTCATCAACATTTTTGGATAGTAATATAATGATGCTTCACATATTTAACATAGTATCAGAGACAAAGTCTGCCACTCTAAAGACAACGTGTGCTCATCTAGCCTTAGTTGGAGGGGGCATATGTTAGAGTTCCACATCGACTAGACCTGAACCATCTTTTCAATATATGGTGGAACATTTCTTCTCTCCTCAAGCGCTCTTTTGGAGAGTAATCTAATGAGGTTTCACATATTCTCACATGGTATCAGAGCAGGGTCTACCTAGGGACTCGACACTCCATACAGTCTATGCCCGTCTAGCCCAATTCGAGGGGCCGTGTTGGAATCCCATGTCAACTATTCTTGAACCATTTCTAATCAGTATACGTTGGAACCGTTCATTATCTCCCTAACGCTCTTTTGGAGAGTAATATTATGGAGTTCCATATATTCTTACAAAGATAAGATGGGATAATAATTCATTATATCTCACCTCTCTCTTTGACAACACAGGTGGAGTATGTGTGTCGAGAAATGATGTAATGGAAGCGGTAGAAAGAGCGAAACAATCGTTTGAAAATAGGCAGCAGCAATATTACGACTTTAATGAACAAGAAGCTCAGGAAATCAATTTGATCTCATCCAGACTACTTGCACAGTCGAGATTCGACTTTTGAGCAACAAAAACCATACAATTTTTTCTTTTTGCCGTCAATTGTTCCTACGAAAGGGTTCTAACGGAGTCAAACTGCCGCTTTAGGCCATTATTCGGTTTCGGTTTGAGGTCATAAAAAGTTTAACAGATTCAAACTCATTTGGGGTGGAAATGTATTAGAACAATGTGAGATTATCAACAGGGTCAATCTTTATAACAAATATCCTAATTGTTTAATTTTAAACCAGTTTAGTGTAGTTTACTTTATAATTATGGCATAATTGTTTATAAGCTTATAAACCAGTTTTCATGTGTTGTTTTACATATGAAACAACAAATGTGAAAATCCGGTGTTTATAGAATGTTGTTTCTTATGTGAAACGTCCATAACTGTTCTATATGTGGAATAAAAAAACAATCTTGAACGTTTCATATATAAAACAACATTGCATATACGAAACAACATATAAAAACTGGTTTGTAAATTTGTACAGATTATTGCATTGAACCAGATCAAACTGAACAGAACCAAGAAACAATTTTGTAATAATCTATAACTAAAAATCAAATCAAATGTAACCATTCCTTTAAATCTACTAGTTTTGATTCTTTAATTTCATGGGTTGATGCCAGCTTTTTGCCCACCCTTTCAAAGTTTTTCCATTTTGGATCCAACGCTCTTATCACATATGATATACGTAATTAGATGTTTCTGTCTCTAACAAGATTTGCTTGTTGTTTGCTTCATATCTCTTTCCTTTGCTTCATATCTTGAATCTTGATCATGACGGAAAAATAGTACAATGTGAATAACGTTTATTAACTGGATACTGAATCGAATGTTGTGTTTTTTCTTGATGGTTGCCCATTTTTTTCATTTAAAAATAAACAAGATACATTTTTTTAAACTAAAACTGTACAAATTTTAAAGCGGTCCAGGAAAATATTGATCTAAATTTTTTAGAAGGATGTTGCTATTTGAACTTATTTTATGTAAATTTTAAGCGGGGTATGAAATGAATTTTCATTCCACGCAGTTTAATCTGGAATGAAAATTTAGGCTTATGGGAGAATGGATCCATTATATTATATAAAACCAAATGGTTTCTTTTATTTTCATTTTCATATTAACGACTGCTTACTACCTTTAACCAAACACCCCATAAATTCTCCTACGTTCACATACCATTCATATTTCATACACTATCCTCAATCAGATAGCAGAGATATGAATAGAATTGGTCTTTCAAAAAAAAATATGCTACCTTAAAAGAGTACAAGTATCAGTTCAAGTAAATGTATGATTTGTCCGAGTAACGTGTAAACTGAACCAACTATACAGAAGAAAAAACACGTGGTTTATGATTTTGGTAGGTGGGTCCTGTGTGAAGTTGAAAAAAGTGTTATGTGGTCTGGTCCTCATCTCGCTGTCACATCTGACTCGTCTTCTTGTCAGTTACAGGTGGTCCCACCCTCACCCTCACCCGCATCCGCACCACCCATCACTCATCACCAACACCAAACCACCTCTAAGTAACCGGTTACCATGCTGATGTGGCAAGTGATGTGGTATCAAACTCAGTATTATTTGTTGACATGGATATCTTAATCTAACCGATTAATGCTTCAACCGGTTAGCCAAGTACTTAAATATTCAAAACTTTACATTTTTTTGATTGTGTAGTCATTTTTTTATTTGCAAATATTTGATGAATATACACATCAATTTAAAAAAAAAAACAACAAAGTTTATATCGCATGATCATAACAAGATAAAGCGGTTTCAACATGCATTATCTAGAAGATGAATAAAAGAGTGGACAAAGAAAGCTTTCATTGTACGTTCAAAAAATGACAACACTAACACAAGGACTCTACGTCATACATAAGTTTCAATCATCTTCTATATTCGAAATCCATAATGTTACATTAACTAATAATGTGTTTTCATTTGTGTATATGTTATCATAACATTTAATTAGTATAATTTCTTTTAAGATATATACATATATAACCATGTGTAGGTACCGTAAGTCTCTCCTTTATTTAATCCTTTTTATCTGGCATTAACTTCGGGGGCGTTTAATTGGACCAAGTGGCTGATTTATATCATATATATATAAATATATATATATATATATATAGTACAATATAATTTGTGATATTAAACGATAAAACAATAGTAAAAAGACTAAAATACCCCTAAGTTAACATAATCTTTTTAACGGAGTTAGTACGAGGGATATAGACCGTAATAAAATGCAAACCATCAGGACTCAAAAGCATAATAAATGAAGTTTAAATATAGTTAGTTAACATTTCACCATACTATAGGGACCAAATCTGTAATGTACTCTTTCTTTAGATATTTTGATGCCTACTTCTAATTCTGCCAATTGGATTTTAAGAAGCTTTTCTCTAACCAATGGTGTTAAAATTTTGACTAAGGAGCCGTTTACTAAACGCTTATCCGGATAAGTGTTTACCAAGTCACATTACCTCACCGGATGAATATGATAAGGACCAAGAATCTTATCCAGTAAGAATGAGACAAGAACCAAGAGTCTTACCCAGTAAGTGAGGGCGATGACTCTTACCACTGTAAGCGCTTACCAGGTAATTTGTTGCATACGATGTTTTGGTGGACTAAAATCTTACCCGATAAGTAAATGATAGAGTTAAATTTTACCGGTAAGCACTTACCGGGTAAGTGTTTGGTAAATGGCCCCTAAGAGTCCCTCCAAAGTTAAATCCTATATAAGTAGTTGGAACAAGTGAAAAGGTATTTTGTTGCATTAAAACCAGCAATTTGTTGTATAAATCCTTTATTTTAAGGGGTCCGTTTACCAAACACTTACCCGGTAAGTACTCACCTGTAAAATTTAACACTATTATTTACTTACCGGGTAAGATTTTAGTCCACCAAAACGACATTGTATGCAACAATTTACCTGATAAGCGCTTACCATGGTAAGAGTCGTCACCCTCACTTACCGTGTAAGACTCTTGGTCCTTTTCTCGCTCTTATCGGGTAAGAATTCTTGGTTCTTGCCATATTCATCCGGTGAGATAGAGTGACTTGATAAAAGCTTACCCAGATAAACATTTGGATAATATGGAAGCATAGATATGTCTCTTTTGAGTAGGGATGGATCCATGTTGTTAACTACTTATGCACTCTCTTTTGCAGTAAAAGAAAGAAGGTATTCTTAGTGGATCCCCCATCACTTACACCCATATAGAAAAGCCTCAAGGCCTCATCTTTTGTAACATGTGTGTATCAAAAAATATGCCAAAAACATCTACAGTTTTATTGCTTCCAAACTCTATCATCATGTTGTTGTTTTATACTAAATAACTGCTTTTTTTAGACGTACAGTATTTGATATTTATGAAAGAATGTCTAAGTTGTTAGTTATTGATGTAAAACCGTGTGGTCATAACATTAACACATCAAACCCCTGTGAATTTGAGTTCTTTCACAAAAATGAGCAATGACATTGATGGTTAACTTGCACGACATTGATGGTTAACTTGTTTAGATCAAATTCCTTGGTTTTGTTTGGTTCACGGAATGAATGATTCGAATTTTGTCAAACTTTTGTGAATACCTTGTTATAGACTTATAGTACTGACAATGTAGACATTTACAGCGTAACTGTAATCATCGATTTGGGAAGATCGAGCATTCCGACTTCGAAATGACAACCACGTTTGTCCGTACAAACACTGTTCCACGTAAAACAAACACCTACATTTCTTACTTGAATTTCTCTTACTTCAAACAAATGTTAGAAATCTTAATCACCATTCGATCCCGTTTCAAAACTATATGGGTTTTTTTTCCAGAACGAGATGTAAATTTCTAAGGAACCAACAATTTCATGAAGCTAAATAGTCGATAACGATTTTGGTGACATGATCAATTTCATCCAAAACCAGTATTAACCAATTCAAAATATAATCGAATTTTATTTGTAACTATTCTACACTGACTTGTTAAACAAACTCTGTAGACCATGCCACTTAAAGTAATTAACGAATCATATCAGTTTTTAAATGATTTTCTAGTTAATTAAATATTATGACTTAGTACATATTAAAGACAATTGATAATACTTAGAGTTTATAGATATAATTATGAGATTAAAAAAGGCAAGATAATAGGAATGAATAAAACATGTGAGTAAGTAGGTGAAGTTGTAAGTAATATATATTATCATGGGTTTTTGTAACCATATCAAGACACCCAATTTTGTCTGTGTTTTGGGGTAGTCCCACTCATCTACACATCATTCCATCATGGCCCTGGCCCCACTTTCCCTTCTGTTGCATTTTATATATATATATATATATATATATATATATATATATATATATATATATATATATATATATATATATTCATGAAATTAATAATTATGTCAGTTTGAGTTAAAATTATAATTATAGTGTATATTATGTATTTTTAAAAAACTTCTCTGTCCTCTCTCCTCTCTCATCTCTCCGACTTTCAATCTTCCGCCTCCGGTGAAATCAGTATCACATTGTGTATTACAATGAGTATCACATTGTGTATCTTTGTTTTTAAGGTTTGAATTGGTATCACAGTATATCACAATGGGTATCACATTGTGTATCTTTGTGATTACTTGGTACCTGCCGGATTAATGTTCACTGGAGGCCGGAGATTGGAGGTTGGAGAGATGAGAGAGGAGAGAGGAGTTTTTTAAAAATACATAAAAAAACCTTCTAATTATAATTTTAACTTAGACTACCATAATTATTAATTTTCTAATTTATCCGTTGATTTGTGGTTGAGATTGAATCTCATAGTTACCACGAACTAATCAATTCTCCCTTGAATGGACCCATATATATATATAGGTTCATTAAAGGAAGAACTGATTAGTTTGTGGTACCGTAAGATTCAATCTTAACCATAAATTAAAAGTTAAATTAAGAAATTAATAATTTTACTAATTTTAACTTAATATTCTAATTTACTTTAATTAGTTTAATTATTTTAATATATGTATATATATACACACACGGACACACAGGGACCAAATTTGGTGGTCTTCTCCGACACCCACCACCATTCTGGTGACCTCTTCCGGTCATCTTGTCTGGCCAAGACTCGATGATTAACCACTAAACACCCATCTGCGATAGTGGTACCACAGTTGGTATCACAATGGTCTTAAAATTTACTTGGTGTGTTTTGGATACCATAT